CTCGCTTGAGCCCAGGAGTTGGAGGTTGCTGTGAGCGTGATGCCATGGCACTCTACCCAGGGGGATAGCTTGAGGCTCTGTCTCAAAAAAAAAAGATACATAAATATCGGAAAGACTAGGACATAGATTTGCTCTCATTAAGGATATGTATGAACATGTACTTGCTCCTAAATTGAAATACTCACAATGGTAATCAAATGCAAAAGTCAGCCCAAGAGAAACAAAGCTTATTAGGTGCTGACTCCCCATTAAACATGTAGATTGACCTGCTAAGATAACAGTGAAGGATGAAACAATACAAACTATAAAAGAGATGGGAGAAGAGATCACCAGAAATGAGAGATTTCAGGCAGTACCTGTGGCTCAGTGAGTAGGGTGCTGGCCCCATATAGCGAGCGTGGTGGGTTCAAACCTGGCTCCGGCAAAACTGCAACAAAAAAAGAAATGGTTAGTGATGTGATACAGATGCAGCTGCCACTTGGGCAGACCTGACGTGGAACCCTTCTTGATTCCATTTTGCCCAGATGCCAATTTGTCAATGTGCATCTCAAGGGAAGTTCCGCTGAACTCTGTGTGGCATCTGTGTGCAATGGATACTCCGTGAGCTTAATTTTCTTCATCACTAAGATCCCTCTCTGATGCTATGTTAGGAACATAGAGAGGTTTGTCAACCCTCAAAACAATATGAGATGAACTAGGGCATGATTTGTTCAGCTGCCAGAGTGTCATTAGGGAGGAAGAGAGCTGCAGGACTCAGTGGGGACAAGAAGACCCAGAACTTCCAAGAGAGGTCAATGGAATAAAGATGCCTGGTTGTAAAAAAAAAAAAAAAAAAATGCAACAAAAAAATAGCCAGGCACTATGGCAGGTACCTGTACTCCCAGCTACTCAGGAGGCTGAGGCAAAAAAATTGCCTAAACCCAAGAACTAGAGGTTGCTGTGAGCTGTGACACCACAGCACTCTACCAAGGGTGACAAAGTGAGACTCTGTCTCAAATAAATAAATAAATAAATGAGAGATTTCCACAGATTTTTGCAAAAAGAAAGGAAAATGAACTGATCTAAGAGAATTCCAGAAGAACTCAGAACTAGAAGAAACAAGGAAAGGCTCCTACAGCTGAAGCCACAGCTCACAAATGAGAGGATTAAATGAAAGCCAGAAAAGCAATAGGAGCCCCATATTCCCTCCCAACCCTCCTGACAGGGATTCTTTCCCCTGCTCTGCTTCCAGAATTGTGCAGTTAGACTGGTACCTCTCAGGCAGAAGACTGGAAAAGTTCTCTTAGAAGATGCTAAAACCAACAGAACTCTAGATCCTGATATTTGTGCCTCACACCTATCAGTGAAAAAGCAGGCTTGTTCCTAGATTATGCTAAAGTAAAGCTCAAGAACTCATAAGTCTTGCTCACACACTAGGAACTTCCAACTAATTCTTCAGTTGCTGATACTTAAGTATAAAACAGTAAAGATCACAAAACATGAGGCCAGGCATGGTGGCTCACGCCTGTAATCCTAGCACTCTAGGAGGCCAAGGCAGCTGGATTGCCTGAGCTCACATATTAGAGACCAACCTGAGCAAAAAGGAGACCACATCTCTACTAAAAACAGAAAAACTAGCCAGTGTTGCAGTGGGCACCTGTAGTCCCAGGTACTTAGTAGGCTGAGGCAAGTGGGTTGCTTGGGCCCAAGAGTTTGAGGTTGCTATGAGCTATGATGCCATTATGGCACTCTACCCAGGGCACAGAATGAAACTGTCTCAAATAAAGAAAATCACAAAACATTTCGAAAAGACCTCCAACAAAAAAGAAAGGGACCAAAATATACTCAATTCCTCAGCCTTCCTGGTGAGGAAGTGTCACCACTTGTGATGTAATCTTGCCAAAAATATTGAAGCTGATTATGATCAAGCCTCATCTAGAACTAAGTACCAGTAAGTCCTCATTTGACATCATATATAGCTTCTCAGAAACTGCAACTTTAAGCCAAAAGATGTAATGAAATCTCTTTTACCATAGGCAAGTTAATAAAAACAAAAGTTAAGAGTAGCGCCTGTGGCTCAGTGGGTAGGGCACCAGCCCCATATACTGAGACTGGTGGGTTCAAACCTGGACCTGGCCAAACTGCAACCAAAAAATAGCTGGGAGTTGTGGTGGGTGCCTATAGTCCCAGCTACTCGGGAGGCTGAGGCAAGAGAATCACCTAATCCCAGAAGTTGGAGGTTGCTGTGTGCTGTGTGATGCCATGGCACTCTACCATGGGCAATAAAGTAAGACTCTATCTCCACAAAAAAAAAAAA